GACCAGGCTGGCCTTGAACTCACAGAGATCTGCCAGCCTCTGCCTCCCGAGTGCTGGGATTAAAGCCCCCGCCTTTAATATAATTTTTAAAATATATTTTTTAAAAGAACAATTAACTAGGCATGGTAATGCAAGCCTTTAGTCCATAGCACTAAGAAGGCAGATGAAGGCCGTTTTGTGAGTTCAAGGCCAGCCTGGTCTACAATTTAATTCTAGGATAGCCTGGGATACATGAGAGACCGTCTCAAAAATATAAACAAACAACAATTAATGATGTATTCTGCTAGCACATATATGCATATTCCTTTCTACAATATTAAATACAAATGTATTTTATAATACAGAATATAAAAGTACCCCATTTAGCCTTTTTTTTCCCTATCACTTTCACTGAACTGGACATAGTGGTATATGTCAATGTTCCCAGCACTTGGTGGATATAGGCAGAAATCACCCCAATTAAAGTCCTTCAGGTTGTAATTAGTAGAGCAGAACACAAATTGAACTGAGTAAACTAGGAAGGGGGTTCCATTTCCAGCTGAGTCACTTTGATTGACTTTAAGGAAACCACTGGATTATTCTGAGATTACATTATGAATATTTGAAAGTAGGTTTTCCAAAGATGGGGTGGCTTCCTTAATACAAAGGGAACTTATTTAAAAATATAGTTGCCAGGGTGTTTTGCAAGTAGATTCTGATCAATAAGCTGATGTTTGGATTAGTAACTGAGTCTGTGGAAAGTTTCCCACATGTTACTGCTAGTTGCCAGGATTTACAGAAGCATCATTATAAAGTAGATGTGGTGGTGCATGTTTCTGATCTTAGCACTTGAGAAGTGGAGGCAGGAAGATTAGAAGTCCAAGGCTATGACTACGTGAGACCCTATCTCAACCCCCCCCCCAAAAAAAAACCACCCCTGTAAATCCCCACAAACAAAACCAAACTGTCATTCTGTGAATAATTGCAAAAAAACAAAAACAAAAAACAGAAACCAAAAACCAAGTCTTCCTCCACAGATATGCTGTTGTTAGAACACACAAACCCAGCCACAGAAGCGGAGTGCTGCCCACCAAACAGCTGGCTTCTGGCTCATAATTAGGTACTCAAGTTCAGCTTGTTTTCCTCCCTGCTACCAGGCTGGAGTAAGTTTGGTGTGACAGCCATTGATTGCTAAGACAGGTAGAACTCCTATAGTAAGTTCTTAAAAACATTAACAAGTTTAATTGAGCTCTGCAATTAAATAAAGTTTAATTTAGCTTTGGTGATTTGTAAGCTAAAAGATGAACAAATAAAGCTAGACCTGGTGATGCAGGCTTCTAATTCCAGGGGCTCAAGAGGCTAAAGCAAGAGGTCTCCACTTGAAGATCCTCTTGGCAAAGAGTGAATTCAAGACTAGCTTGGGCGATTTAGTGAAAATTTGCCTAGCATGTGTGAATCTGTGTTTCCCTATCCAGAGTGTATTATAAAGTGCTGTTACTGTCAATGACAGTATCCTGTATCACTTGCTCTGGGTAATGCACTTACTCCAACAACCTCAAAGCATTTGATAATTATTTTGTGTTAAGTAGGGGGATATAGAGTAATTATTTTGTAAATATGCATTACCTAATGTTTCATTCATATATTTAATCTAAGAAATCTGATTGTTTTTCTATCTTCCTGTTATTTTACCTCATTGTTTTTAAAATATATATAATTATAAGTATATATAAATATGTGTGTGTGTGTTCATGTGAGTGCAGGTGTCCCCAGAGGTCAGAAGGGGGTATCAGACTGATCCACCTAATGAGGGTGCAGGGAACCGCACAGGTCCTCTGCAAGAGCAGTGCTTTTCACCATTGAGCCATCTCAACAGCACGGATTTTGTTTTTTTGAGACAAGAGTCTCACTATATAACCCTGTCTGGCCTGGAGCTTTCTGTGTAGAACAAGCAGGCCTCAGATCGTGCTCTCTGTCTGCTGAGAGCAGGCATTAAAGGCAAGCACACCACACCATATAATTAATTATATGTATAAGTAATTATATAATTAATTACAAGTATAAATAATTATTTATATATATACATGTAATTAAAGAGGCTGCCCTCCCACTCTAGCCTCCTTCCTCAACCTCAAATATTAGATTCTGAATGTTAATTATACAGAATGGGTTTCGTTGGCATTTCCATACATGCAAATTCACTGCTTCAATTATCCACTCTCCCAACTCCCCACCTACCTTTTAGTAAGCAGTCTTGTAGGTATCCTCAGGAAAACAACTTTATAGCTGCCCCTTAGAAACCTGTTTCTGGAAGGAAGAAATCTTCATAATTGAAAACTTACGAAAAGGAGGAGGGTATGGAGGGAATCATCTGTAATCCCTATACTTGGGAGCCTGAGGCAGGAAGGTCATTTCAAGTTTGATTGTCTATGGTGAAGCCTATTGGGTTATGTATGGAGATTCTTTGAAAACAGAAGAAAAAGTTAAAAAGAAAATTATTGAAGGTCTAGTTTATTTATACTAGTATATAACACTGATATAGTCTTAATTTCAATTGCCTTTTTGACCTGCTTTCTCATTAGCACTAATATCCTAGATTTCTATTTTCTTACTTATTTATTAATTCATTTATAGGACAGCTTATTCTGTGTTGTAGCAGCATTTGGTTGTTTCTACTACTGAATCTTTGGAAAGAATGACTGTGACTATGAAGAAACCTCGACTTTTTTATATTGTTAAGTATCCTGATCAAATAAAAATAAGTTGGTACTTTGGCACCTAAAATCTGTTGTTTTAGATTTTATATATTTAGTAGTTTGACTTTATTATGCTGTCTGAGCTCTTTCGACATTTGTTTAGTATCAGGGTCTAAGAAGTTTCAAGTTATATATAAAGTAGAACCCCTATAAATTTGGAGACTTCTGTGTTGGCTACAATCTACTATTTTTGCGATGATCATTTCCCCCACAGAGGCCCTTGGTGTCTCCTCCAGTTGTCCTTATTTGGGCCATTTTATCTGCCATGTCCAAATACCTACTTGAACTTAAATGTGTGTGTATGTCAGATTTTAACCATTTTTCTCTTTGAATGTACCCCAACAGTTTAACCATCCTCTTTCTTCTTAGTTATCTTCAAGTAAAAAGTGCAAACAAATGTATTCAAAATATTTTCTCCCATCTTTCTTCTGTAACTTTATGCACCCACTTGCCTAACATCTACAAAATCGAGCTGGGTGTGGGGGCTGATGCCTGCATTCTGGAGGCTGAGGCAAGAGGGATACATAGTGAGTTCCAGGCCAGTCTGGAAATAGTGTAAGACCCTAATAGTTATTTTTAATCTCCAAACAAATAGCCCATCACAAATGGGATGGAGAGATGGCTCCGTGGCTAAGAGTTAAGGACACTTACTGCCCTAGCACAGGACTAGCGTTTAGGTCCCAGCACCCCTAAAGGTGCTCACCAGGGCCTGTCACTCCAGCTCCTCTGTCGCCGTTTTTATGACCTCTGTGGACCCGCACAAATCTTACCAGAAACCTTTACAAAACAAAAGTTCACCGTGGCAAGTGCGTTCTCTTAGACTGCGCACTCTGACCAGTGCCCTCGCCTGAACTCCGGCTCAACTACTTTCTCAGAGAGTCGATTCGTGGGGATCATTTTTTGGTGGGTCACCCTAGGTCACCTAGTAGGTGAGCTCAGACCCGAGCGATCCCCGAACGTGGCTAGCGGGCTCGAATTCTCGAACTCTTCGGTGAGGCTGGGCGTCGGGACCGCCCGTGTGAACGAGGGCGGGCGCAAGGGACGCCGGGAGACCTCAGGCCGAGCGAGTCCCGTCCCCGCCGGCAGGAGGCGCTACACATCCGGCATTCCGGGGCTGCTGGCCCCGCGCCTGGCTCCGGTGCTTCTGCTCAGTCACTCCACCCGCCCGGCCCTGCTGGAAGCGGAACTACTATGTCAGGTTGTGGTTTTCAGGGATGCGATGGTGGGATTGACAAGAGGGCGGGCGGTAGGCGGGACTTCCGGTCCGCAGTCGGGTCAGATGTTTCCCGGGCGTCTCCCCGCAACCTATTTGACTTCGCCAGTGGGTGACGCGGCGCGAGGAAGGAATCGGACGGCGCGGGAGCCTGGGAGAGCCGCGGTAAGGAACCCCGGGTAGTGTTTGCTTGCGTGTCCAAACGCCGGCGGGGACCGTGAGGGGGCTGTGACTGAAGAGCAGGTCAGTGACAGCCAGGGAAGTGTGAGGCAGGGGCTGCGAGGCCACTGTGACCGAGGTAGACACAATGACAGCCAGGACGACTGTGACCCGGCGGCGGCCGCTTGTGAGGGGTCTGCGACCCCGGAGCAGCAAATGCGAGGGGCTCTGACCTCGGAGAGCACGAGGCAGAGGCTGCGACGGGACCATGACCGAGTAAGTATGCAGCAGGGAGTGAACGATGGATAGTGGCTGAGGGGATTGACCCGAGGGAACATGAAGCAGCGGCTGCGAGGGCTCGCTCACCAACAAGCAGTGGCTTTGGGGCTGACTTGGAGAAGAATGTAAGATCAGGAATTGGGGTCAGTGCTCTCTCTGACGCTGTGTTTGTGTACAGAGTGTGAGTGAGTGAGTGAGTGAGTGCCTAGGCAGAGGTCTTAAGTGGAAACCACACTGGCGTGAGATTTATCAGACAAGAGTTTGGACTCTACGGGCAAAGTTCTGTGGGCGAGAAACTTAATTCACCACCGAGTTGCAGCTTCTTCATTAGCGAATGGGAAGTTCGGGTTCGGTTTAATGTCTCCCAACTATGGGTCCCCGTGTACTGTTGCGTTGGGAAGACAGTTTAGTGGGTGGCCACTGAATAGAAACAGGTAACTGTACTAGAATAGAAATTCTCACTGCTAAGGATTTATGAAATAGTTTTCAGGCATGTGTGTCTGCAACGATGGCATAAAGTGAGTTTTGTACATTTTACAACGTATGCAGTAAAATGTAGCCAGTGTTTGAAAACTGGGTGTGGTGACACACAGCTATAATCCTGACACCCAGGAGGCTCATGCAGGGGTATTTGAGTTTAATACAGCCTGATGGGTTCAAGGTGAGCCTGGGATACCTGCCCCCCCCCTTGAGACAGTGTTTCTTTGTGTAACCTTGACTGTCCTGGAGCTCACTATCCAGACCAGGGTGGCCTTGACCTCTCAAGAGATCTGGTCTCTGCCTTCCAAGTGCTGGGATTAAAGGTGCATGCTGTGTGTAGCTTTTTGCTGTTTGTTTTGAGAAGCAATGGATTGGATTGTTTTTGAACTTTTCTTTTTTCTTTTTTTTGGGGGGTGGTGGTGGTTTCGAGACAGTGTTTCCGTGTGTCTTTGGAGGCTATCCTGGAACTAGCTCTTGTAGACCAGACTGGTTTTGAACTCACAGAGACCCACCTGCCTCTGCCTCCCGAGTGCTGTGATTAAAGGTGTGTGCCTTTAAAGGCTTTGATGCATTCATCTCTCTTAACTTGATGGGTTTTGCGCTGTAGGCTAAGCCTGACACCTGGGAATGATACCACATTGTGGCTAATTCAGTTAAAGTCTTAGCTTCTGCTTTTATTTCCCAATCACTCTTTTTCATGAGGGCTATTAGTAATTTGGTTGAAATGAACTGAAATGATAATGGTGTGTCTCCCCTAATATATTTTGAAATAGGAGCTCTTCTTTGCAGTCCTGGCTGGCTTGGAACTACACTGGCTGTGTAGTACAGCCTGGCATTAAATTCTTGACATTCTGAGGTGTGGTGGCCTATGTCTTTAATCTCAGCACTTGGAAGGTAGGGGCAGTTGGATCTCTGTGAGTTCAAGATCAGTGTAGCCTACATTATCAAGTTCCAGGCCAGCCAGGATTACAAAGTGAGATCCTAAAACAAACAAATATGTGTATACCAGTATTCCTGCCTTAGCCTCCTGAGTGTTGGAATTACAAGGGTAATTCCCACTATACCCATCTTCTTCCTTTCTTATAGCCCTTTGTAGAAGATTCTCATGATTGTGCCACCCAGTGCTTAAAAAAAAAGATCTAGCCAGGCTTGGTGGCACACACCTTTAGGAGGATATCTGAGTTTGAGGCTAGCCTGGACACATAGCAAGCTCCAGATCTGCCAGGAGAGACAGCCAGTCTCAAAACAAAACAATCCAACAGGAATTTGAAAGCCAACTGTGGTTGTGTATAATACTATCACTTGGGAAATTCAGACAGGAGGATGATGAATCCCAGGTTAGCCTGGGCAACATTTTAACTCAACCACATACTGTATTAATCTAATTACCTACCTAATAGATATCATTAATCACTGTACAGTTTGCAATAGGGAAAGAGAGTCATAAAGGTTCTTATGTGGGTGTCACTTGGAGTTTGGGGGAATATTCTGTGCTTGACTAGTTACAGTGTTTTATGGACTAATGCATGTGTACTTATATTCTACATAACTAGAAGGTGCAGCCGGGTGTGGTGGCGCGCACCTTTAATCCCAGCACTCGGGAGGCAGAGGCAGGCAGATCTCTGTGAGTTCCAGGCCAGCCTGGTCTACAGAGCGAGTGCCAGGATAGGCTCCAAAGCTACACAGAGAAACCCTGTCTTCAAAAGCCAAAAACCAAAATACAAAAAACAAAACAAAAACAAAAAAACACCTAAAACTTTTTAGAAGAGAATATGCTTCAATATAATTGATTGCAGAAGAGGAGACACTTGGGCTTGAGGACAATGTCACTCTAAGGAATTGACTGCTTTTTGCATTTTGTCTTTTGTTTATTTTGGTTTTTCAGGACAGGGTTTCTCTGTACAGCCCTAGCTGTCTTGGAACTGGATCTGTAGACCAGGTTGTCCTCAAACTCACAGAAATCCACCTGCCTCTGCCCCCAAATTCTGAGATTAGAGGTGTGGGCAACTCACTGCCCAACATTTTATTTGTTTTGATTTTTTTGTTTATTTTTTTTTTGTTGTTCGATACAGGGTTTCTCTGTGTAGCTTTGGAGCCTATCCTGGCACTCGCTCTGGAGACCAGGCTGGCCTTGAACTCACGGAGATCCGCCTGCCTCTGCCTCCCGAGTGCTGGGATTAAAGGTGTGCGCCACCAACGTCCAGCTTTGATTTTTTTTTTAAAAACTAGGCTGACTTGAAATTTCCATCGAAACAAACCAGCAAAATAGCTAAATATGATGATGAAGGACTGTACTCTCAACATCTGGAGAGTGGAGACAGGAGGAGACAGGAGGAGATCAGAAATTCAGGGTCATCCTTGCATGCATAGATTGAGGCCAGCCTCAGTGAAAACCAATATGATGATTTGATTGATCTTTCAATCAAATGAGAGATTTGTTTCCCCCTAGGCTTATGATTTCTCCTTGTATAAACATGGAGGGTGGTGGTGGCGCACACCTTTAATCCCAGCACTCCAGATGCAGAGGCAGATGGATCTCTGTGAGTTCGAGACCAGCCTGGTCTACAAGAGCTAGTTCCAGGATAGCCTCCAGGAAACCCTGTCTCGAAACCCCCCCCCAAAAAAAAAAAACATGGAGGGTTTTATTTTTCTTGGGGAACCTCCTCTTTTTAGTTTTTTTTCCTCCCTGAAACAGGGTTTCTCTTTATGTATCCCTGGCTGTTCTGGAACTCACTCTGTAGACCAGGCTGGCCTTAAACTCACAGAGATCCACCTGCCTCTGCCTCCGGAGTGCTGGGATTAAAGATGTGAGTCACCATTGCTGTTTGATATGAGGACCTCCTCTTTTAAGAAGAATGGTCTCAGCAGGGTGGTGGTGGCAGCGCAAGCTTTAAATC